ACATAACGATTACATTATTATTTTTTGTTTTAAATAGCCTTTAGCTTTTAAAATATATATCTCAGAATTTTATATAAATAGAAGCTATATTTCACTCAAGAAAAATTACGCTAGAGTATTATTAACTAGAGAAAATAGTTTTAAAGACGTCAGTGAAATGGTGCACGTTACTGTAAAATCTATTTCTATTTTATATCTCGAATTCCTACTTTTTCTTTTTACGGGACACACGTTCACATCGCATGGTTGCGCAGTTTGCGAAACGCTGGATTAAGGTGTGATTGTCGTGAAGTGCTCAACGAAGTGGAAGCGAGTGAGAATGTAAGCGAAAGTGGACCGAACAGGTGTGAAAGGTTGTTCGAAGGAAGAGTCGGCGTAATTGCGAGAGGAGGGCGTGTAGAAAAAAAAAAAAGAAAAAGAAAAATAAGTAAAAGGAGAAACGAATTTTCGACGCGAAACGACAGAGACACACAGTGACCGTGACACACTAAACACACTCTAGTAATACAAGGAACATAGTTTGTACGGGACGTACAAGTTGGACGCGTTCGGCGTCGTACCAGGTTTAAGGTTTGCCAAATCTCTATTAAGTAAAGACACGCGAGACAATGTAAAACTTTATTAAGCTGAATTACGTATATAGTGCATATAGGGAGTACTTGCATTAAAAGAATCATAGCTAAACCGTTAGTGCTTATCGCGACGATGTGATGAAAAAGTGCAGGCGCAATATTTCCAAATCGATCAATCTCCCTCCCTTCGCGATCATCTCAGTTTTCGTTGGATATCTCTTGTAAATGATTCGTCGATATATATCGCGATAAAACACGGACCGAAGCGACACTCGACGATTCCGGTTCACTTTTCCACCGTGATCGTTTCTAAAGAACGCCACCTTTCGGTACAAACGGAACGTCGATATCGGGGAATTATTTTCTGACGACACGGAGATTCTATAAAAGCACATCCAACGAGAAATATTTCTGCCAATTTTCGTAGGAAAACGTGGATCTATATAGAAATTATACTATCCGATAGGATACTATCAGAACTTGCTTGCACTATTATTTTATTAAACTGGTGTAATTACAGAGAAATGTGCCAGAATGGAATTAGAATCTCTGGAAGTCGGATGAATGTCGCTGTCGTTGCGCATACGGAGTTTTAAAAAATATTCCTTTGAAAGTGGCGAGTTTTTAAGAAACGACGTACACTTTGCAGGATAGCACCTATAGATAAGCACCTAAGATTTCTCAAACATTATCCGGAGAAACAAAGTAAACGATTACGTCTTAGTTCATATAACATTCCCGAAGCATTTCGTGAAAATGCGGAGGATATCGACGTTTACGAATCGCAAAGGTGGCGGGTGCATCGGTTATGCGTCAATTATTCCCGCGATTGATTCGCTCGTAGATTTTGTTTCCCCGATTACACGCGTGCAACGCGATACGCGACGAGTGAGGGAAGGGAGAAAGAGGCAGAGACCAGCGAAAAGCTCGGGAAGTAGTTTTAATAGCGTACTAACGATCGTTGACTAATTTTAGCGACATTAGTTTATCTTGATAAGAGCGGGGGAACGATTGGCAGAGAAAGGCATCGATCGACCGAGGAAAGCTTGTAGGTAGCCACGAATTGTTGACGAGTAGCGATTACGGATTATCCAAGGGATTAACCCTCTATAATCAAAATTACGTACACCCTTCTCACAAAATTAGATCGCTAAATACCAATAACGTTGTTGGAGATACAAAACGGTGAATTTTAAATAAAAAAAACACGAACTTTTATCTACAACGTAAAACGAATAGCAATCTCGTTGTTACGTAGACAGGAATAGTCGCAGATGAATTAGGTAATTGGTGTTCGAATCCGGGTACTCGCGGGGTTATAGAGGGTTAAAGAAAGTGAAAACTGACGAGAGAACGAAACGAGGACTAGGGAACGCACGAAACGGAACGTCCATCATGCCACTCGTGCGATTTGGCTGGGAAACTTCGTCGGGAAAAGAGGTGAATTGGGGTGGAGCCAGGGTTGAGGGACGAGGTAAAATAGGGTAGGCGGTGAGGTCACGTGGACAGGGTAGGGTCGGCCAAAATGAGAGACGGAGCGGAAGGACATCGGAGCGGGGTTGTTTTCGTCGAAGGGATGATGAAAGCGTGCTCCCTCAAATTCGGCGTTTTAATGTTCTTTTCGCGATTTCAGGGTAAAACGAGGAAAGAGTGAGAGAGAGGGAGGGAAAAGAGGTGTGGTTCGTTAGGAAACGATGAATCGAGAGTTCGAAAGAGTGTCGGGAAAGGTCCAGCTTGGGGAGGGCAGTTTCCATATTCGCGAATCGCTAATTTCTGCTTTATTTTCGCTCAGTACACATTTCTTTACAATGTAAAACCTTTACTCCTACCCGCTCCCCTCACCCCTAAAAACGACACGTGAAACAAAACAGTACCACTATTATTGCTACTGTACTATTACTATTACTGGCTACAGCTATTACTACTACAACTACTATAATATTACTACTACTACTACTACTACTACTACTACTACTATTACTATTACTACTACTACTACTACTACTACTACTACTACTACTACTACTACTACAACTATTACTACTACTATTATTATTAATTATTATTAATTAATTATTATGAATTATTGTCATTATTACTACTACTATTATTACTCATCAAATACACACATACACATATATATATAAATATATATAATATATATTAATATACTTAACGGTGTTTCTAGTGGATTAATTGATTAATTGATACTTAAGATATATTAATAATATTAATAATAACGATTATAAATGATGATGATATATATATATATATATATAATTATATATATACATAAATATATATATATATAATGATGATAAGGTGATATGCTGATAATTATTACGATGATATAATGATAATATAGAAAAAAAAAGAGTGGATCATTATTCGTAAAGTACATACTGGAATAGATTATGAGGATGATTAAATAGAAAATGATATTAATGAAAAAAAAAAAAAAAAAAAACAAGAAACTTGTCAATCGAATCCAAACAATCTTCTCCCTCCGTTTAATTAGTTCTCATTTTAAGTAATCATCGTTTTTTTTTTCTTTTTAAGCTTATACCATGAATTCCTTGTGAGACTTAAAACACTGCACAATCTGATGTTGTTATAACGATACCTTTGCTTTCGAGCGATCAATCGGCTCGATGATCGGGAAACGAGCGTCGCAAAGAGGAACGTATCGTACCCGATGGCAAAGTTTCTCTAACTTCATGGAAGTATCACGCGAAAGACATACCAGTGCATGAGCGGACGTGCGAATGAAAGCAAGCATGCGAGTGCGCGCGATGAGAGACTCAGATTTTTCGGGTTTTTTTTCGAGAGAGAGTTTCAACAAGATTACATCCTTTCCCCGATCGCTCGAATTGCTGGTCGATAATTCTAGACAGCCTTCTATCTTCTTTTTGTCGCTTCTGTTTTGCAATCAGCTTAGAAGTCGGTTATCGAACATCGAACCGACATTTTTTTGGACATTTCCGTACACTCGGAGAGGTTTCGTTTTTAATGCTAATTCCTCTTCGATTAATCGATTATATATATCGTTAGTCGCGTGCAAACGTTACCAGATAGATTTCTCGCTTTATATTCCGAAAGCGATATCTAAAATGATTTTAATAAATATCGAGGTCTGCTAAGTGAAAGAAAACAGTTCGAAAAATAAATTCTATTTCGAAACTACATATTTACACAGTCGTCGTTCTCGAAATATAAAGCGAAAAATCTACTCGGCAACTTTTCCACGCAACTGCATATATATATATATTTTCCATTTTTATTAATTAGTTACTGCGCCACGATTGAACTGCGTTTGCGCGCAATTGATTTATCATCTGGGACGAAGTTACGGAGATGGTTCCAAACAATATTTTTTTTTTTTTTTTTTTTTTTTTTAATTCTTTATTGCATCGTTGACATTACCTTCTCATTGGTGCAGTGTTTTATGCGCGGTTTCAGCGTACGTCATGTCGCCTCGAAACTGAGATGGAAATCACATTCGGAATTTGTTAAAATTTATTTAAAGAGGAAAATTTGTTAAAAAGACTCAGGTTCGCGGCGACTTGGCGTTCTTCGGTACTTCAGAGGCCGAGTGTCTCAATTATCAAAGCTGGAATGCCTTCCATTCAATCATTCAACAGCCCCTTTAGTATTTTTTTTTTACACATTCAGTGCAATGTTCCTCGCAGTAGGTCACGAATCAGTGACTTTATACCGCCGTGAATTTAATACCGGTATTATGCTAAGCTAATCTATACAGAAACCGACGAAGTACCATAGTTAATGCAAAATTCCTGTAGTAAAATCGAGGATACTCGTTAGCGTTATTTTAAGACTTTGGAATCGTGTTGGATCAAGTACATTTCTCAAAAAATTCAGTATAGAAACAGAAACCGATGTGATATTGTAATTAATACAAAATTCCTGTAGTAAAATCGAGGATACACATTGGTTTGGAATCGTGTTGGATCAAATACAGTATTAAAAAATTCGTGTAGAAACGAAGTTGGGTGTATTTTTATATTTCGGTTTCTATATAGATTGTAGTTATAATACCTGTATTTTATGTGAGCCGTTCTTTGCACGAATCGCTTAACTCCATAAAACAAACACTTGAGAACTGCGACAATTCCCTTTATAATACCAAAAAATAGAAATAATAAATGACCTTAATCTTCATTATTTAGGAAATTCAAGATTTTTCAAAAGCTAGAGTTAATTGTTCCATACAATGAACGGGTCATATCACGGTACAAGTCCCCATCACGAGTAAAGTTTGAATTCGAGGCGCGAGGCACGCAAAAAAAATTCTCTAAAATAAGCCATCGCGACGAGGCCCCAATTTGGAATTTCCTTTCTCCTCCAACGCGTCACGCGCACATTTTGCTAATTTTCACGCACCGGCGAGTGGCGTGTACCACCACCTAATTCCTTCCTTTGTTTCCCGCAGACGTGATCCCGATCCCAAAGTTCAAAAATACCGAAACTGGGAGCCCGACCTTCATTCCAAATGGAGACGCAGCCCCGGGTCCCCAACGATTTTCCTTGACTCAGCATACCAATTACCATCCTTACAGGCGCTAAAGAAATAGCCAACCGGCTGCCAAAGACACAGACCAACGCTCTAGGTTCCTATAAATTACGAGATTAGAGAAGAGAGAGGTTGGCGGTGCTGTGATGGAGGATGATAGAGAAAGAAAGAAAAGAAAAAAAAACACACACACACACAGAAACGGGATGTTTCAGGGTGAAATAATCGAAACGAGCTCGATCGTTTTACGAAACTGGCCATCCTCTTGCTTCCCTATGTCTGAAACCCGTCGCGTCCAATCGTTAATCGGCGAGAAAATTGACTTTTTTTTTCCAAGAGGGCAGTTTTGAGTTTGTTCAGCCGACGACTATAGCCCGTAAGATGATTATCGATTAAGAATTTATACTAAGTTACGTGCAAGTGACGGCGTGTAAGCAAGCGTCCTTTTACAAATTAAGATTAATTAAGGCCGCCAATTTAGCTGTACGAACCCATCATTAATCTATCGTAACATTAAAATTTTTACTATTCGATCATTTTAAACGTTAGCTAAGTAGCGTCTAAGCCATTCTTTCATTCATATATATATATATTTTTTTTCTATTTATAAGGCTTATCACAAAGACGGAATCATGGTGCAGAGCGTCTTCGGAGTTATTTTTAAGCAGTAAGGGAATCATTGAAAAATTGACAATTGAACTCGCGGCTCAGCCACCGCGACTTTAAACTTCCTTTGAGTTAGGAACGCGTTCCTTTGGTTCTGTGACTTCTCGAGATCGGTAACGTTCAGTCGTATTATTCGCTATCTGGTTCGAATTAAATTTCATCGCACGCAGAAAAGTTTCTCTCGATTTCCAGCAAATCGTTGCTCGCGACGCGTAGCACTAGATAATTTTATAGTAATTATTTAAGGCCCGTGCTATAACGAATAAATTTTGTACTGAAAATTGTAAGAGGGAGCGAGAGAGAAAGAGATACATTGACGTTGTTTAATTCATGGTTTTATTTATACGCATATATTTAAGACGTTTAGTGTTTTATCTATAAGCACTACGATTAAGACGGTTAAGGACGTAATATAAGCTTTTCCTACTTGCACGTTACGAGACATTTTAGATATATTTATCTCATAGTCGCACGGTTATACATTAATCCTAGGCATTATCGTACACCAGATCGGTGGAGATCAATTCCGGCGTATCGTCGTTTTTAATACAGTTACATTTTACAAATCTGGTACATGTATTTCACGGAACTCCGTCAAATAATCCCGCGATCCTCTCCCACGTTGAATCGCGACAAACGGTCTCGTTGTCCTCGTTCGTATCCAATTGACCTCACGTTCGGGACGGATCCTCTTCAACACTTAATCTGCAGGGTGCCTGAGCTCGCACCTTTCTCAAATTCTTAAGGAATTAATTATTCAAGCATTATTATTCAGAGTCGATCGAAGGAGGGAACATTGGATGTAACTTTTATTATTATTTTCATATGAGGAGGAAAAAGTGTTTTTGCTTGATGAATACATCATTTCCAACTTTGTTTTTCCGTGGAGGAACATCAGTTTCTCACATTAACAGTATTCAATACTCCCGCTCCATGAAAACTAGACTAAATCTACTCAGACAGTATTTCCGTGTAGACAGTATGTGCATTAACGGTATTCAATATTGCCGCTCCATCAAATAGTATACAAAACCTACTGAGACAGTATGTATACTAACAGTATTCAATACTGCCGCTCCATTAAATACTACACCAAACCTACTCAGACAGTATGTACATTGTACGGTATTTAATACTTCCGTCTCATTCAAGAACTACACCAAACTTACTGAGACAGTATGTACATTGTACGGTATTCAATACTTCCGTCTCATTCAAGAACTACACCAAACTTACTCAGACAGTATGTACATTGTACGCTATTCAATATTTCCGTCGTACTAAACACTACACCAAACCTACTGAGACAGTATATACATTGTACGGTATTCAATATTGCCGCTCCATTAAATACTACACCAAACATACTCAGACAGTATGTACATTAATCGTATTCAATACTCCTGTCCTCCAAAAACTACACCAAACCTACTGAGACAGTATGTACATTGTACGGTATTCAATATTGCTGCTCCATTAAATACTACACCAAACATACTCAGACAGTATGTACATTAATCGTATTCAATACTCCTGTCCTCCAAAAACTACACCAAACCTACTCAGACAGTAGATTTCGGTCCTGGTGCTATGGTGTGTTCTTCCACGTAAAAAAAAGTTAGAAATGATGTATTCACCGTGATTGGTTAAAAAAAAACCACTCTTTGGAATATTTCAGTTTTTGATTATCATATCGAATAGGAATGGGAATATTTTGTGATCCGCAGATTAAGTGTTAATCCTCGCGGAATTTTCTGAAATTCTCCTTCATCGCAGCGTCGCCTTTACCATAATTTCAATCGGTTCATGCAACAGTAATCGAGCGTACGAAATTTCCAACGAGTCGATGACCGAAGAGGCTGACAATTTATTCGGTGCAGATTCGTATCGATTCAACGACTCTTTCGGTGATTCGTGAAATTGGTTGTTGAACCAATGAACGCATTTTGGGCGAGTTGCACAGTGTAGGCAGGAGACTCTTGGCACAGTGTTCAAGATAGAAATGTATACCGAAATTCGATTAATATATTTCGTTTATTAGTCGAGTATATAATATTACGTTGATAAAATGAGGTTCAATTAAAATTAATGACGTACTCGAACTTTTGACGTCTGTAATTCTGTGGTTGGAGGTAAGTGCGACAAACTCTGATTTCATCTTTAAAAATACAAAATCCTTACGGGTATAATATGGGCATAACGTAGAAAATTGCACAATAACAGACAATCCTTTCTTTCCTATTAAAAATACTCTAATCCAGAATGTTTATACATCGACGACTCTGCATGGTTAATTTTAAGCAGAATACTAACTTAAAATTATCCAAACGAAAGACTGAATCATCCAAATCAAAATCACAGAATAGCCCATGGAATTTCGAATGTCCAATTAGAATGACCAAGCTTGATACTCGGGAACTAACAAACAAACGAAGTAAATTAATTTAATTAATCTTCATATCCTATCATCTTTATTCCCAATAGTGTAACCATTGTAACGACTGTGCCAGGTTCATCCTGTCTAGATTACGCAACGAGTTAACGGTCTTCTAGCTTGCGCTTCTAATCCGTTGCCATGCACTCGCGACACAAGTTCGTAAGCTGGTCCAAAGGTTTAGTTCAAACTACGGAACTAATTACGTCCGCGGTTCGAGCCATTATTCGTGGTCGACCTCTTCGATTATCGGTAGCGTTTCAACAACGAGCTGGCTCGCGATTACGCGCGTCACAGCTCTCCGATTACCACTCTCTCCCTGATTGCGTCCTTGGGCCGCGTCCTGGCACACAGTACTACGTTCTTTTATGCGATTCTAACAGGCACCGTATACGGATCCTCGAGACTAGAGAGCGTTCCTGCTGCCCCAGGAACCAATGACAGCTACAGTGGCGGTGGACCCCAAAGGGGTTACACGGGATCCTCATCCAGCTCCAACAATTACCATCCCTACCGTCGCTAGAATGGATTTAGACATAACTCGAGTCCCCGGCGTTAGAACGTGGTTTCGCTTACCCTCTTCTCCGTCATCGGTGCACGTGCGTGTACAGTAAACGGTACAAATATAGCGATTTTAGGGATGTTGCTAAATTTTTTAATTGCAGAGTATTCTGATGCAATTCATTCTGGAATCTATCGTTCCTCGTTTAACTTGAACGATGGAGTTATTACAAGGCCTTGGGAAGTTTCAAGACTTAATCCTTTGCACTCCGAATTATATTTAAATTTGAGAGTTGTATTTGAAGTTTACTTCCGCTAAAAAATAAGGTAATAAACGGAGGAAGGAACAAATTCACTTAGATACCAGTTTTATTCTCACTTTTGTTATATTTTGTCACTTTCAAGCATTGTCTCTTGAAACAATTTCGTTCGCTATTGATTTCGACGAAGGAGCTCCTGAGATAAAAACTAGGATTGCAAAGGCTTAATAAGTGATTGAATACCGTCAGGGTCGATTAACTCGGAATATATAAAAATTCTCTATGATTCCAGATTAGAAAATGCACAGTAATCTCAAAGTGCAACACTGCCCAGCCAAGTAAAGTGCATATACCACCCACCAAGGGGTGTTTTAGACCAACTTCGAAACCGACGTCATCGCTATATTAGCACCGTCGACTGTAAGCGTGCTTTCGCATACTAATGCACCCCGGAATGCATTAGTTCGCCTGTGCATTCGATCTTCCGCGCAACGCGGCCGCCGGGCTGGTATCGATACCGAGACATCGATTTTGTATAGTTCATTTTTTTTTATCGATACGCACCCCCATTGAACCATCGCGAATGGTTCGAGCTACAGCGTGCGAGCGATCGCGACCGAAATATATCATATATATTAAAGCGCGGAGCGCAGCGATCGGTTCGCTCATTTTAAAAAAAAAAAAAAGATATTCGAGATACATTTGCGCCAAGAGGATTTCCGGGGAAGGTCAGGGCCAATTCGTGGACGAGGAAGCCTTCGGAGAAGAAGAAGGCGGCTCCGTCGGCGCACCAAGCATCGGACCAATTTTTCTGCGCGTGCAGCGATCGCCATCTTGGAACTTGACTTCAGGAAGATCGCGTGTCGCGCATATTTTCCTCCCCCTTTCGTCGTTATTCGGCGTCAACGTCGCCGAAGAAGTGAAGCCTGTCCATTAAATCGTCTACGATTTAGTCCACGGGGCTGTGTCGATCGGAACGAGGGTCATTCGACGGAAAAATTGGATTCTATAAGGGTTGAAAATAGGGGCAGAAGCTTTTGTTACGTGCCAAATTTATACACCGTGACTGTATTGGTTTTCTACGTGGTCGTTACGCGATGAGATACCGAGGGTTACAAAGTAGGTACATTTTTATTCCTTTTCTGTTTAGTAAAGTTTGCAATCTGCTTGGAACGTGAATTGAATTAAACTACGTCTGTTTATGTTTCAGCCTATTTAAATAATTAATCATAGTATATTTAAATATTAAAATGTCTTTAAGTAGTTCGAATTGATCAATATTAAAATACTGTTCTACCAAATCAGTAAATATTAGGTGGACTGGAAAGTAATGTCGTTTCTTTTACATTAAATTCAGACAAATTTTTTATAAATTTCTATTTGTAATTATTAATTGTATAATCGCTCCCGTTATCAATAGCCTTGTGCTATCTAGTGTGCAAATTGTCAATGCCAGATCGATAAAAATCAGTGAGCTGATGAACGTTAAACAAGTATTTAAAATTGCAAAAACGACATTATTTTTCCGGTTCACCTAATATTATATATTTAGTTCAGAAATGATCGAATCATTCGACATTCGAATTTAGACAAATTAACAGTCTCCACCTTTCCTCGTCAAGGGTTTGCGAAAGAACCCAAATGCGAATACCGATTACGTAGAAAAGTAATACACGTACTTCCTATTTTCCGCATTCTCAAGCAGCCAATTTCGGAATATCCTTCGTATTTCCGCTCGTGAAGAGAGTTTGGTTCTCGTTTCGCGTGACAAAGAAAAAGAGAAGTTCTTCGTCGAGCGAGAATTATTCTTAACCACCGTGGAAGGCAATGATTGACAAGGGTTAAAGCGCAAAGTCGGGTGAGACACGTTCGTCCAGAAACAGAAAGCGTTGGGTAATGTAAGCTTAGATTTAAGGGTTTTCACGTTAACATAACGATCCACCAAGTCTTCGACCAGTGATACAGAGCGCTTTGAGTACTTCGTTGCGAAACGAAACGTGGTCATAATTCTTTCGACACATCCACCCCCACCCTGTTCTTTTATTTTCATTCTCCCCTTTCTTTGGTTGGATACAACGGACCCTAGAGAAGTAGATTAATGGCCTTCGTGATAAGTACGATAACGCGGGTCACGCTTCGGTTACGTTCGCACGCGAGGAATCGAATCGTCCGATACCGGAAGCCATCAGCAGCCCCTACTTTTGAGTTCTCCTTTAATTTTTGTTTGTCGCGACCGGCGACAAATAGTTCGCACCGATGAAAAAACCTAATCCTTTGTTTTTTTCAATTTCTGCCGTAGGAAGTTTATTTCCTAGACGTCCTGTTCATTTTTCTGACTGGATGATGCGAGGCTTGTGGACTTGAGGTAAAGAGAAAAAAAAAAGAAAGGAAAAACGCGCGTTCAGCCCGCGGTCGCCGCTTAACGGGCCGCGATAATTAAGGACTTTCTCAATTTAATTAATCAGCTGGTCCTTTGTCCCCAATTTCTTTT